TTAAACCTTACCACTTATAATAATATATGATTATTGGATTACAGGAATAAAAAAAACCTACGTTGGAAAAAACATTCTTGGACATTGAAAAAAAGTTTTCTTTTTTTCTTCTCTTAAATTAAGAATAAAGTAAAACACTGAAATTGAACTACATATGGTAGAAAACAGTGTGAATCATCAATACAGTATTTGATTCACATGATCGACAAGCTGGTTTATACAATTCGTCACCCGCTCTGCCCCTATATTTTCTACAATGTTTTCCGTTGTTCTTCTTTAACAAATTTAAAATAAATTTTTTTATGTGCTAAGAACTTAGGAGTAAAGTGATCTACATAGCACTTAGAAATGGAAATATGTAAATGATAAAGGTTCTTACCTTGCATGTCCTTGTATTGTTAGTTGATGCACCACACTTACCACATGTCATTTTATTTTCTATTCTTGAGAGATTCCACTCTCCTAGCACCACACTTACCACATGTCATTTTATTTTCTATTCTTAACGATTCCACTCTCCTGCTCTTTTAATTACTGTACTCTTTTCTCTAGTTCTTTTGATCTCTGGTCTTTCAATAGTTTTCACAAGATAAGGTGGGTCTATCGCATATTCTGGCAAAACATTCTAGATTTTTTACTCTTACATGCATCATATGTGCTCTATATGTTATCAAGTACAATTAATTTCATTCATTCATTAATTCTATGTTTTGGCACAACATAACTTTGATGACGTATGGACTTGGAATGCTAGTCAATTGTCATGACTTACATGCACATTTTTCTACATCAAGATGTTTATCTTTAGCCTCTAACACTACATATTCAAGAACACCATTGAAATCAACGTTATATAATTAAGGTATCTTCATGTATGCAGTGAACAATTTCATACACTTAAGACTATAATAAGTAGCCCATTTACTTGCATTCTCTTCTTTCTCTTTGATCCATTCATTATCTTTATTCTTATATCTTTAAGCATTTTTAACATTGGCTTGCCTCTTGCTTTTAGAATTCAAGATTGAGGACTTTATGAAATTATAATTAACTATTAATTTTTTCATATAATATTAAAATGCTCTACAACTTCTCTCTGGTGGATATGTAAGTAAATTGTTGACAATGCCTTTTGACAATGCACAAAATGCACTTAATTAGTACTTTAAATTTTCCTGATAAGAACTCCGAACAGTCTACCAAAGCAATTTATCCATCACTTTTGACCTAAATCACATCACTTCATCCAATTGGCCTCAATGTGTCTATAATCAATAAAAAGTGAATAGTTAGCTGATAAATTCAAGAGCATTTTTGACTGCTTCTACTAGTCCTTGTACGTGTCAAATAAGTAAACAGTAAAAAAAAATTGTAAAAGGAAGAAAAATTATTCAAATAAACAAAATAAATTATTTACCTTCTGAACATCAGAAAAAGAAGTGGCAATTTAACCATATTTTAGATTCAATGAATTGTTTAAAAGTTGTAGAAACTATTTCCATGTTCTAATTATCTTTTTATCAATTACAACTCATGCCAATGTGTAGAAGCAATTCTAACAATATTGTGTCATAGCCACCAAAAGTTGTTCTTTGCATTGACCTTTCAAGAAGATTTCATCTAGTACAATAAAGGGTCTCAATCCTTCTTTCCTTCCCAACTTTAGTGTATTGGCACAAATTATTCATTCTAAAAAAATTTATTTTATCTTGTTCTAGTTCTCCTTTTGATATATTAATCACAATATCAATATCAAGATTGCTTAGCCTAAGCTCATTTCAATAAGCCCCAATTCTGTTGTAATCATCTAAGGGACTTTCTTGTAATTTTTGAAGAGTCATTCTCTTTGTCCTTTTCAACTTTAAGGAACTAACTTTCAAGTAGTGCTGATCCTTCAAGTCTTGTCTCATATCTTCAAGCTTGTATTGAATATTATTATGCACTTCATTCTTGAAATATTATGCTAAAATAGTTGTACAAGCATTAGAATTTTTAAATGCATCCTCGCAATTGTGATTTTTTTTCAGTTTTTTAACTTAAAATCTGGACCTTGCCATATTGTGAATAAAAAAGACAAATGAACAAACAATCATGTATTTATTCCTTAGACTTGTTATGTCACTTTTTCCTCTACTATAAGTTTGAAATTTGTATAAACTACAAAATGGACAGTTTTTCTTGCCTTATTAAAGTCCTTGAAAATCGTGGAGGGATGAAGTACTTTGTAGTGATTGAGTTCATAATTTACTTTTCTAGTTTTTTTGAATCTTAATGAGGTTTAATTGATAAAAATTTTATTCTTTATCATCAGACTTGTCATTATCACTAGAGACACTTTTTATTCAGAATTAATGTCATATTCACATTCTACCAAATATACTACACTATGGTGAATATTATTTGGTGTAGAAACAATTTCTTCAAAATCATTTGCATGAAACAAATGAACTACCTTAAATTGTTCATTTAATAAATATCCGAGTGTCCTAATTCCTTTAAATCCTTCAATCAAGTAAAATTTTTCAGAAGACCATTTCACAAGTATATGTTTCACAACAACAAATTTTAATGTTATTTGTGTATTCTATCACTATTTTATCATAGTCGAATAGATCTACATCAATGTCTCTCCTAATGACAACATACTTCTTTTCATATATTAATTGTGACTTTGTAAGTAATTTACACCTATAATGCAACACAAGATCAACAAAAAGATATTTCGTATTAAATTTTAAAAAAACAAATTTAATGAGCCTAAGTCATTGTGACATAATGGGCACAAATGATTAAAATGCACTTTAGGAACCTATACTAAAAAAAAAGAAGTAAAAACATACACGAATGAATAAGATACACTTTATGAAAAAAGGAATAATTGGGACCAAGTCTTTATTGATATACAAACATAAATAAGTTACATTTTAAAAATCTATACTAAAAAAAAGCAAAAACATACTGGATTTACATGTATATTAAAACATAAACAATAGAGGGAAAAATCTGAACAAGCAGAAATGAATAAGATACTCTTTAGAAATTTATACTAGAAAAAACATGCATGACCGCATGCTTATTACAACATAAACAATAGAGGAGAAAAATATGAACAAACAGGTCATAATAAACAATGAAAAAGGCATTGAGACGACAAACATCAAATTCAAATAACCTAATACATATTTACATTCAAACAAGTCATTTATGAATAAGGACATTCCGACCAAGTTCTTACTGCCGTACAAAAATGAATAAGTTACGCTTTGAAATTTGTACTAAAAGAATAAAACATACAAGGGCCACATGTTTATTACATCATAAACAATAGAGAGAATATATATGAACAAACATGTAATAAACAATGAAAAAAGGCATTGCCAATTTAAATGATATAATACATATTCATATATGAATAAGTCATGTAAGAACAAGGGCATTTAGACCAAGTTCTTACTAATGAGCATAAATGTATAGATAAACTTTAGGATTATCTACTAAAAGAAAGAAAAAATAAATCAAACAAATAAATAGTTATACCCTAAATCTTGTTAGGGTTTTGTTTGATTTTCTAAACTTATTTGAGGTTTAGATTTTCCTAAAAAGAAATGTAAAGTACTACCATAATTGTTTTAACATTTCTTGAACGGAAAAGAATATTATTTTCTTCCATATTTGGTTTATTCTTTTCTTAAAGGAAAAAATTGGAGATCTATAATTTATTCGAGCTAAATATTAATGTATCTAGTATTGTGTTACTTTTTAAGGGATTAATGTAATTACAAACTAAACAGGGATAGATTCTAATTTCATATTAAAAACTATGTGATGCCTAAAATTTATCCTTATTTTTTCATAAAACGAAAAACAAAGGTATTACCATTAATGCTTTAACTTTTCGTGAAAGGAAAACATTATTTTCTTACATATTTGATTTATTATTTCCTTAGAGGAAAAACTTGAGATCTATAAATTGAAGATTCCTATTTTCTTAAAAATCAACAATAACATCTACAATGTAGATATTTAAGAGTTCTGTTTATAGGGATATTTATTCTTTCTACGGTTTAAATACTTTTTTATATAAGTTTTCCCATAATATATTATGTTTTTATCAGAAAGTTTTATCATTTAAATTATCATTATATTGATTTGCAATTGTAAATTTCCGCAAGACGCCCTAATAACTTTCAAACTCAACAAATCTAACGTAACAGAAAATGATCACTATGTACAAGACAAAATTCTCAAAATATTACAAAAATAATAACTCGTCCCAATGCAAAAATCAATCAAACAAAAAATCACATGAATACTATTATTTGAAATCAAATAAACAAGTATTTGATTCTCTAGTCTAACATACCAGAAGAGTATACAAATCAAAAACCCTAAATACGTTGCTTTAACATCATAAACATAATAAAATAGAAAAATGATTTTCTAACCTATAGCCATAAATATCCACAAACTCTAGCTACATTGAAACCCTTGTAGTGAAGAAAGATGCTAGCTACTTTGTAACCCTAGCGGCAAAAATAACTGGTGAAATGAAGCTTCTTTGGGTCCTTTTTAAGAAAAAGGTGAAATGTGGAAAAAAAAAGTTAAATTAGGGCTTTTAAATCATCTATGTGGAGGTGGGTGGGGTGGGCTTGCATGTGTGGAGGTTTATATGACATATTACTATACACATTAGACTACATAACTCCTCCTTGAGTAGAAGGGTAAGTCTGGTCCAATAGTAAGAGAAGAAGTATACTTTTGAATCAAAATAAAGTTTAAGGGTATATTTAATTTATTTCGAATAGTTGAAGAATAAGTATCAATTATTAAGTAAGAATACCAACATAATTTAAAAGAAGAAAGACAAATAGCCTCAAATTCGGCCCAAAAGCCATATGTGAAGCCCATATCCAGATCTGTCCAAGTTAAGATAGAAACACTAAACCTATTTTTAAAATCAAAATAGTTGTTGTCTCATCCCCTTTGCTTTTCTAATCTTTTTTATTTTTAGAGATAAAACTCCAAATATCTTTAGCCAATGACAGATTCACAAGTCCTATTTTCGTACAAACCTTGAATAGTTCTTTAGCTCTTCTTCTTTCTCCCTCTCAGTAGCAGATTTGGCCAACATAAGATTCCAAGAGACTTCTGTAATTTGTACAGAGTAAGTTCAAAGATAGATTTTGAATTAAAAATGACTAATTTGATTCTTGAAAACCTCTCAAACTTGAGCCAAGCACCCTAATTTATATCCATAAATACCAACATTTTGCCTTTGAGTTTCGGATGTTTTTTTGGGATCGCTATAACAGCCTTGGTATTTATTTTTTTAGAAAAAGAAGCTTTTCTCTCTCTCTCTTCCACCCCCCCCCCCCGTCCCCATAGTTCAAATATTTTCAACTTGGAATTTAATCTTGTGGTTGTAAGGTACGTATGTTTGCTTCATACTTAGCTGCTTTGAGTTTTGTTCGGAAATCGTCATGTATATTGTCCGATGCTTGCAGTTTAATTTGTATCCCGAAATTAATTTAGTGGCTTGACTTAATTTGGCACTATTCTTGACTTATTCAATATCAATTAAAGTTGAATTGTCTTACTAATCTCTTTACCCTCTCTTTACTTGCATAAAAATTGGATCAAAAATTGAATCCGAATTGAGGACTCTCGCCAAAATAAAGTCTCATGGACTCGCTACCATCATACCCGCATACGGAGTCTATGTCTTTGACTATCCGGAATAGCAAGCAAAGTGAGTGAAACTCACTTGTAGTCACCTATGCCTATTTATATCTTTAGCATTATTTACTTTTGTTGATTTTTCTTAACATGATGAACTTACTAATGTGATTTAGATGTACTTTATTTTTTTTTCTGTCGGGATAATTGACATAGGAATAATCATCACGTTTAAATATAATTACTTAGTTACTCACAACCTAATTATTGATAAACTATCTATCATATGTGAGCTTTTCCTTTTTTGAAAGAAATCTAGCATTTATTAAAGCTCAAATTGAATTTTTTTAAAATGAAGCGTTTTTATGGGGTCATAATTAGATTTTGTACTGTGTTTTTTATAGCCATGACTTTAGAGACTAATAAAATTGTTTTAACCAAATGAGTTTTTTTTATTTTCTTGTTTTCAAGTTTTTGTCAATGTATTTCAATCAATTTTTAAATGTACAATGTGTTTCATGGTGCAAACAAATTTTAAGACTTGAATATTAACTTCATATACTTAACCTTTATTTTACTATGCATTTCGTACCATTTTTGTACAAACAATTGTCGTTTTAAACAAGTGATTACCTATTGTTTTCAAAAAAGAAAAATGCATGTAAATTTATTCCATATATAAAAGAGTTTTTCAAATGTTTTCCACTCATGGATTTTTGCAATTTCTTTAGCATTATTTTTTAGTTTAATTAATTAACCTAAATTTGACTGATTAACTATTTATAACGGATCTTACAGGATGTCTTACCCCTTCCCTCCAAGAAAAATTGAAACCCTTACCTAGAATCGTATAAGGTTAAGTAGACCTTAATGTAGAGTTAATATATCATACTTTGATAAAATAGATATCATAACCTTTCACATAATTAGATAACGACTCCTTGAAATAGTATTAAGAATCACAATATGTTGTATATAGTTTGGACCTTGAGTTAAAATGGGGTATTACACCGAGTATACCCTTTCGCAACAAGGTGAGCCTTATCAAACTATCTAAATCATTTTTGACTGCATATATACAATGACAACCACTAGTTGATTGACCTACCAGAAGTGAGACTAGCTATCAAGTAACACACGTATGTAAAACAGACATGGAACCAATCATAGTCAACTTCCCTTCAAATTAAGAAAGTATTTCACCCATAGTCTTAGGGATAAAAACAGAGGACAAATTATACAAAGGAATAGTGGGGTGATGATAACTGAAGTAAGTATAATATGAGTTAGTATTTTGAGTGGATTGTAAGCCTTTTTGAAATGCAATCGGTTTTCTAGGAGGAGGAAAATCCACAGTAGCAACATTGTTTGACACATGGCATATTTCACCAGAGAATAGTGCTAGATGCGGATGATGATGATAAGTTAGGAGTAATAGCACTACAAGTAGAGATGTAGAAGAATCTGTACATTCCTCAAAAGCCAATACAAGTAAAAGCTGAGAGGTAGGAGTAAACCTCAGAGACATCAGGATGATTCGAAGATATATATTAAGGTTGTGATTCAAAGAATGTGACATCGCCTACATAAGGTATCGCAAACGATATAGTAAATAGAAAAATACCCTTTGAACCTGCCAAGAAAGACTCATTTAAGAGTACAAAGGTTTAATTTATCTTTCATTGGAGTTAGGCTAGGTTATGAACAAAGTATCTTTCCCAACGATATGAGGGAGAATACAGTAGAGATGTGACTGAGAAAACAATATTAAGCGTGAAATATGAAGCAAAGTTTAAACTATGTCATCAAAAATCTTATTTATGCAAATCATTTTTAGTTTTGTGTTCCATGTATACGTCTGATTTCACACCAAATATGAATCTAATATATTCCTAAGATTCTGGCATTGGCAAGGTCACAAATCTGGTAAAAATATATGAAAGTTGACCTTGCCAAGTGATTGTATATTTGATGTATAATTATTGTATGTCTAAGTATATACATGCTAGGACTACAACCTCAGTAAAAATGTTTGAACGCTAACCTTAATATGATCAAGACTTTAGTAAAAATGTCTTATAAATAAAAAAATATAAAAGCGTATCTAGTTATTCCTTAGCATTATTAGACAACAATCAATTCAACTACTTCTTGCTTTACAACAATATTTGGGATAGAATGAGCATTATATTGAATCATTATAAATCTAAGTAAGAGAATAATTGAAAACTTTTCCAATTAGATAGATGAGGCATAACCTAACTATTTAGGAAGAATCAAATCTTTATATCTTAGAACTTACTGCACTGCTACTTTAGTTGGAAATAGAGATAAGAAAGGATGAAAAGGGCGGATGAAGAAGTGGGGAAGGTTGGAGACTTACCGAGAGATGTGATCCTACCACAAGGTGAGGTACCTATATAGAAACCAGTTCATGTAACCATTGATCCACTGAATAATGTCGCTACAAGGATAAAAGAAAAGTTAGAAAATGGAAAAGAATAAACTGAATAGCTACCTCTAGTTAGCTAAGAAAAAGACTTGGCAAACAAGAGGAAGGTGTTGATGATCTATAACAAGCGGAATACGAAGGTTAGATTCAATAAGGTTCCTTGCGGCGACATGGGAGAAAGATAGGGAGATCAAATTGGAAACCCTACCTTCTAGGAAACATGCTATAGAAGTTTATAGCCTCACTTAATGGGCTGGGTTTTTCGTTTTAGCTTTGTTTTTTGTCTAAACCAATCTTGGAAATTGGTCTTTTACGTGTTTGTACTTGTTATAAGGTATTTTAGGAAAGCAAGTTGGAGATCCTTTATTTCAAATAACTAAGTCTTTACAAACAAGTAAAAGACCAAGCCATAATTGGTTTAGCCCAAAAAGAATGCTAAAATGAAAAGTCAAGCCCACTAAGTGAGGTTATCAACTTCTAAAACATGTTTCCTTAAAAGTAAGGTTTTCAATTTGAGCTCCCTCTCTTTCTCTACATGTCGCAACAAGAGCCTTGTGGAATTGAACCTTCCGATTCCACTCGATTTAGGTCATCAAAACCTTCCTCTTGTTTACCATGTTTTCTTCTTAGCTAGTAGAGGAAGGTTTTCATTTTTTTCTTTTCCGTTTTCTTGATTTAATTTTCATTTTCTCCTTGTAGAGACATCATCAGGTGGATCAATTGTTACCTAAGGTGGTTTCAACAGTTTTTCTCCATCTTGTGGTGGGATTTCAACTATCAATAAGTATCCAACTTTCCCCTCTTTCTTCCTCCGCCCTTTTCTTCTTCTCTACCTCTTTATTTCCAGCTGAAGTAGAGGTGGAGTAACTTTTAAGATATAAAGAGTTAATATTCCTAATTAGTTAGGTTATTCAACTTTTATCTAATTGGGGACTTTTTCAATTATTCTCTTACTTAGATTTCTAGTGATTCGATATAATTCTCATTTAAGTACCGCAAACATTGTGTGCAAGGCATGAAGTAGTTCAATTCACTGTTATCGAATAAAGTAAAAACAAATGATATTTGGGGGAAATCTAAGGAATTACTATATATGCTTTTAAAATTTTCATTTCGAAAACATTCTTACTAAATTCATGATTGTATCAAGGTTAATGTTCAAACATTATTGATTGTCGTTATCATCCTGGAAAGACTATACTTTAGACGTCTAGTAATCATACATCAAATATAAAATTCCTTGTGATGGTCAACTTTCATATATTTTTTACTAGATTTCTGACCTTGCCAAAGCTAGAAGCTTAGGCATATAAATAACTTCATACCTGGGGTGAAAGTCACACATCTACATGTCATACAAAACTAAAAATGATTTGCGTCATACACTAAGTTTGAAGCCACATTACTTCAGCAAGTATAAAACCTTGTCATTTAACTCTTTTCAGCAGCCCACCCCCGTTTTCCACCGTTGAACATGCCACCACAAGCAAAAGTTTTTAACCTATGTTCGTTTCAGCATTTTTACAATCCATTTCAGCACTGGGAACAACAAATATTACGGAAATCTTGACTATTTCAGTCCCTTTTTGGTCTTATTTTCTATTGCTCCGGTGATGGCCGTATCAAGGCAATATATTTTCCTTATCTGAATAATTGTATCTAATTATAGTTTTCGTATAGTTTCCGGCTATTCAACTTTTACTTTTAGGAAAAAAGAATTAATGTTGTCATATTTACCTCCTAAAGTTAGTGTGATTGACTCTTGATGAGGTCAAAGTGGCAAACAAAAATCATATTAGCAGCATTACCTCGAGATTGAGAGAGGGTGGCGAGGGGAAAAGTTATTATAAACATAGTTTACACCTAACAACTTAGAATTGGGGAAGGAATGTTATGAACTTTGTTTCATGCTTCTATATGTTGTGCCTTTAGTATTTTTTTCATACTGTATGATGTTGTTTACCATAATATGGTAATATTAAATTTCAAAGGGTGGTTTAAAGGCATACGGATAAAATTGACCTTATTATAAAACAGATGACAAACATGGAGCGATAAATGAATGCAAGAATAATAGTGAATAGTTGAATTTAGAGTCTAGATTATGAGCTTGTGTTGTGGCTTAGGAAGAAATTAGCTCGAGTAAACTTAAGAACAAAAAGCTTTATAGTTTAAGCTTATGAAAAATTGCAAGTATTGACTGCTGATCAGGAATTGTGGAACTTATTTATAGAGAACATGATCCGCACAAATATGAGTGGTGCTGATATTGTCCCAGGGAACTCTTGGAACAACAACAAGAGGAAACTGAAGCTCTTGAAGATGATGGGTGAGCCACTTAGTTTCAGAAACAGTAGCATCAGCTGCCCGATATTCTGCCTCCATAGAAGAACGGGAAACTGAACGTTGCTTCATTGCAGACCATGATATAGGGGAACTACTACGATAGGTAATATAACCAGTGGTCGATGTGCAATCTTAAGGATCTCCTTCCCACTCTGAGTCTGAGTACGCAAGCAACCGACAATCAGTTTCATTGGCAATAGTACATGAAAAGAGGTAGTTGAACAGAGATAACAGAGAAGTCATTTAAGAGAAACCCAGTGAGACATAAATGGTTG